ACTTGCGGTACATAATTTATAATATAGTTTTTCTACTCTATGGCAATACTCATTTACGTCCTCACCATTGCGCATTTTAATTGAATTTAGTAGTATTTGTAAGCTAGATGCAGTTGTTACTTTGTTAGATCCTCAAACGCGCCTGTTAAATAACTTTTAATGAATGTCCACTTGGTCACATTTTTATATCGTATCATTTCTAACGCTCTACCAGTTAATCTGGTGGTAATATATTTTACTAAAGTTGGTGCATATTTTTCTTCGACTAGACCAGTGTTTCCCAACCTTTTTACCACCACGGACCACTTCCACAATATTTTATAGGTCGCGGACCACCTCAATTTTACACAAACTAGGAAGACCTTTTTTTGCTCATTAACAAGAATACACAAAATTTATTAAAAATTTTTTATTATTTTACTGTACTATTATATATAATTATTTAATTATTAAACTTTACTAATAATTTACTTAGTGTGATTTTTGTGGCTGCATTTCTTTGACCAGTTTTTCAATTCTCGGATGAATGTTGCTAATGGCTAAACGCATGTCGTCACTTACGTCCAAGCGATTTCTCTGTTTATTTTTGATCACAAGTAGACTGGAAAATCCTTGTTCACACAAATACGTAGTTGAAAATACTACTAAATAACGTAAGGCAATTTCCCGTAGTTGAATATGTAATGTTGCCCTTCTGCACCAAAATTCCTCAAGGTTCATACCAGAATCAAACATATTTTTGCAGTCAGAGTCATTTTGCAGTTTTAATAGAAAACTAAGAAAGGTACCGCGGACCACCTATGACTGGCCCACGGACCACNACTAGACTCACTGCCATGTCACATGCATTAACAAATGGATATATGTCATCCTCGCCCGTGCATAAAGGTATTAATTTAAACGCGTCCTCTAGTTTTATGGTAACCATTTTTTTATTTCGTAATTTTTTATCGAAAAATAACTCCGTGTGTTCAAAACTATCAGTAACCTTACTACGTGTAGTTCTACCTGACTTATTATCTAAGCTACTACTTCTCGTTAGAATAGGTTTCTCTTTTTTATTTTTTATTTTAGTTTTATCTGGACTGTCGAAATTTATTAACCTATGTGTAACGTTTAATATTTCCTTTTCAAGATTAGATGTATCTTTTTCTGTGTTATACGATGGATTATCTAATTCCAAAGGAGATGAATCTTTTTCTTTATTGTCTATAAAATGCCTTTAATATTCATTCAATACGCCCTTCATTACTTCCATTAATAATTCTCAATTATGTATATACTCTTTAATAATATTCAATAATAATTCTCGTAATAATCTCAATATACTTCAATAATAATTCTCAATAATAAACCTCATAACAATAATCTCAATAAATACTCTTTAATAATAATCTCATAATAACAATAACTCTCAATAGTTAAATCTCAATAATAATCACAATAATATTCTTCAACAATAATAACCTCAATAGGCTTCAATAATAATCTCAATAGTTTCAATAATAATCTCAATGACTTCAATAATAATCTCAATATAATAATCTCAATAACTTCAATAATAATCTTCAATAACTTCAATAATAATAATCTCAAATAATAATAACTTTTATAATCTCGATAATTTCAATGGGTTTTAATAATTAACTGAATAGGCTTTTTTATAGGTTCTACTATGACACCTACACTACTATTTATACTTGATTACCCAAAATAAATTTAAATTTTAAATAAATTTAAAAAAATATTTATATTATTAAATATAAACATACAAATGTAATAGTGTTGAATATAGTATTCACATAAATTGGTGAAGGATTTTAAAACATTATTTATGCAAGGATACTAACACTTATTATTATTAATATTATTATAATCATTATTTTATAAGAGAAAAATATCATTCATATTATATACAAATACTAACACAATTACTTATTTAAAATGTGAACTATGAAACCTATTGTAAATGGCATAAGCCATAATAATAATAATAATAATAATAATAAAAAAAAAAAATGTAAATGAAATTTTAACTAATTTCCCAGACTATGAAATTGTAAACTATAATGAAAATATGATGTAATGTGACAATAGCAATAACAAAGAAAACAAATTGTAAAGATTTCTGTCTTGCAGACATAAACCTTTTTTTTTCGCGGGGAGGTGTTGCGGGCCTTGGCATCTCCGCATATATAATATAATATTATAACAATGTAATATAGAATATATTAACCTTTCATAATGTTATTACGGTCTTAAACTCCGTATATATAAATGACATAAATATTATAATGATGTAATATAGAATATGTACTATCTGCACCTATCCATGTAATAAATCACTGGACAGGTACACGACTAGAAATCGTGGACACGAGTCGCTATTCTAAGAATCGGCAACAACAACCGAAAACACGAACACATACAAGCTGCACGTGCCGCTACATCAAAAGAACCGCCAACACTTATAAGGGAGCCCGTGGGACAGCCTGGGCAGATGTATCATAGCCACGGAGACCTGAGCAACTTCTCATCACACGCGCACACGCTATAATTATACACTTACCATACTTTCTGCTAAATAAACGTTATTCTACAGTTCAATTTGGTACTTGTTTGATTTGTCTCTAAAGTTTACGGCTTTTGGAGCCTTTGAGATTACGCACACAACATTTGTGGCCCAGTCGGTAGGACACAACATGCCAATAATTCAAACTCGTAGCTGTTTTAGCTTTTTTCTGGACTGTTTAGAAAAAACATTCAAATTTCAAATGCATATAAATCCGTGCCCTAGCTATCACTAACACACCAGTTCCAGGCGTGGATCTGGAACGTATTTACGGGGGGGGGGCATCTTAAATAAAATTTCAGCAGTAATGCAAGTCCATTTAAGCGCGAGTTTACGGGGGGGGGGGCATGGCCCCTTGCCCCCCCCCCTTGGATCCGCGTCTGCACCGTTTACAGCAGTGTAATATGCGTTGAACGCACTGCTCTCAACACGTACCTAGGTACTATTTACCATACAACCACAAACCTGTAACGGCTATAACTTCTTAAATAATTGTTTTCGAAAAAACATTGTTGTAACCAGTCCCTAAAATTGTGTGTAGTACGAAAAGTGCAGTGTGTAGTACAAAATTTAAAAGTGTGTTCAAATTAAATCCTTATAATAATAGTATAATACTATACAATTTTATAGCTTCACATTTTTTAATACATTAATGGTTTTTTGACAAACCATATTTTAATTATTATCTACATTCTACACAGATACCCAGTAAACAATATTTTGTGTTTTTACTTCTTATACTCATATTGTTTTTGAAGTTCCTTTAAATTGGTAAAAAATTACAGCACTATTTTAAAGCCATTACTTTATAACTAAAAGGTTAAAATATGATATATAATAATAATATGTTGAATGTTGATGATATATTAGAGTAAATTTATATGTAAATTAATTAATAATAATTTAATTTTGTTCACAGTAATGAATTATTATATTAATTATACATATTTTTATTTAATTTATATTATGTGTTATTGGTTGAAGAAGACCATAAGCATCGGTAATAAATAATAGAGCATTCATTTTTTATTTAGATTTGACTGATATGAGACTATGTGTAGTACGAACATTTGGATATTTTAGGGACTGGTTGTAACCATAAAAAACTAGGTTTAAAAAAAATTGAAAATTTTAAGGAGGATGGTAAAGTGTATTTGTTACTATTAATAATTGATAGATACTAACAAGTATGAAATTGGATACTTGTATTTATATTTTCCTAAATTGTATACTTACCTACTAAATTAACTTACAATTATTATAATAAAAACTTCATGGCGTTACATTATAATTCACAAATAACCACAAGTTACCAAATACGAAAAAATTGATTCTTACATAATATTGAATGCTAAGTTGAACAATCCCCTCATAAAAAATTTAAAACCAGAGCGCAATTAATATAATAAAATTGTCAATTTTCGGTGTTTATCAGTTCCATACATTATTGTATTGGTATAAGTTATTCAATAATGATAAATTAAACAAGGAGATGTGTAAGATGACAACAGCCAGCTTTGATTAAAATTACTGTCAGTCATATCAGTGTTTAGTATTTTGATTTGAAACAACAACATAATGTAACTAAAAATAGGATAAAGTTTATAAGGGTTACAATATCCATGGAAAATGAAAATATTTTTATACTAAAGCAATCTACACTGTTATACAAATATATTTTTAATTAATTGTATACAGAAAAATTAATTTAATATTTTACTGAATGTTTGTGTAAAAGTTAATTTTAACCTTTTCACTGCTATAATATTTATTCTCTGCAACGTGAGCACATAAAATTAAAACTAAATCTTAGATTCTGACAAGAGGGATGAATGTATTGATTTTACAATGATGTGTGTTTTTTATTTTTATTTATTTTTGTGTCTGTCATCATGTTTAAGGGCAGTAAAAATGGTACAATTTTCTTCTTTATCGATTAGACAGTGATAGAAAATGAAAGATCTAGTTGGTATTTAGGAGGATCAAAAGTGAAAAATTCCCAAAACCTTTCAAAAGCAGCTGGAAAAACAAACAAAAAATTAAGGAAACCAGTTTTTGATAAAATCGATTTTGATTTTTGTTGTAACTCTTAAAAAAATATCGTACATGACATTTTTACTGAATGTTTATATCTGTGTTTTCAATATACCATAAAATTTTTAAAATATTTATAGGCATATGCAATTTTTGATTACTTGTTTTTTAAACTAATGTGGAGAAAACATTTTTCTCAGTCAAATAACTTAAACATTTTATACAAGGTTCTTTGTGAGTTGTTGTTAGTGGAAATTAAAAAAAAAGTTGAGCGTAAATCCACATGACTTTTTACGAGCTTTAGAAGTAGACATTTTTACTACATTGGATACACTCCATTTCTCAAACAGCGATTTTCTTATTTTGTCATAATTCAAAAATGAAAGACTGCAAATACTTGAAATTTACACCATAAGTTTATGTTATGAATTTATATACTTAAGAGTTAAGATACAAGTTTCACTTCTATAATAATGGACAAAAAACATTTTGAAATAAATAAGAAAAAAAAAATTAATCTTTTCTACGACGTTTATCACGATCTTGTTGCTGTGGTTGAGACCTTTTAGATGCATGCTTAGCTTGTGTTAAGAACTGATCCAAACCAAATGGATCTTCTTCTTGTTGATGTTTTTCAAATTGAACTGGACCAGACCGACCACTGGCTTTAGGATCACGATCTGTTCCACTAAATTCTTTATTTGGCACAAATCTAAATAAAAACAAAAACAAAATCATAATTACTTAACATTTTTTTTATAAAAATAGACATTATAAGTTTAATTATTTTTCTAAAAAAGAAAATTATTGTTCTATGTAAATTCACAACCCATAAAATATACAAAATAGCTTTGAACTATTCAGTTTAAGTTAACTTGTCTCTTAGATTAGAGCTTCATTGAATAATTTATAATAATAATAATAATAATACAAATTAAATATTCCAACATAATAATATTAAACTTACCTATTTGTCTTAGCAATTTTGTCTAAATCATCACCATACACTTCCTTATCAATATTAGCCGATGGACGATAAATATGTTGAGCCAAAGAGCTGTTTCCACGCCAAGGTTTATCATACACATTATATTCTTCATCATCACCAAATCCAGTATCCATTCCTGCTGTTGTATTAAGCAAACGTTGATCGTACTGAGTATCTCCAGTTTTTCTAGTGATTGCTGGGAGTCCAAGAGCAATTTGTTCACTAATATCTCGATCTCGCAATACTTTGTTTTTACGGCTGTCAGCATTTCTAGCAAGGTTACGATCACGAGCTCTATCTTTTTGACGCTCCAAACGTAATTGATCACGTTCACGAGATTCATCATTCTTAGCAGATCCAGGAAGTCGAATACCTGCTCTTTCTTCTCTAGCTTTTTGAGCCATGGCTCTAAGATGTTCCTCTTTCTTTTCCTTTTCTTTTTGTGCCATTTTCTTTTCCAACTGAGCCCTCATTTCCACAGCTTCTCTGGCTTTTCGATCTGCTATGTATAAAGCTTCGGCCAGTTTAGCAAATTTTTCATTTATATGATTTTGTTGTAAACCTCGACCATCAGCAGCTAATCTTTTATCTAATGGAATTGTATAACCTTTAGCATTTTTCCAATTGGATATACAAGGAGGAATTTTCCATTCTTTCTGTTCTTTAACAGATGTCTTTCTGGTAGGGGAATGCATTAAAGGTGCAGGAGGTGATGGAGGACCTCGAGGAATTTTTTTATTAATTTTGAATTTTGGGGGTTCCATAGGATCTTTCTGAGCTTCCACTAATCTTACTACACGTTGTTTTGATCCTGAATTATATTCTTGTCCTTGTTCAGTAGGGGTGTAGCGGAACCATTGAACAGGAGCCTAAATAACATTAAAAATATAAAATATCTGTAAAAATAAGCTTATTCATAAAAATGAAAAACATTGCAACTTACAGGTTTATCTGCCGCTCGTACAGGTAATGCTGCCGAAACTTTAGAATTAGTTAACTTTTCCAGTGCTGCTCTTGTTTTTTCAGTGATGTCTGCAACTTCTTCTAAATCAGGCTTTTGTAAAGATGGATCATCTTCATTGACCACCTCAGATGGAAGCATGTCAGATAGTTTTGAATAGATCACTTTATCTTTTCTTTGACCTTGGCGAGCAATCACATCATATTTAACTTTACCATCAGAAGTTAACTGCAGTGCAAGAGCATTTGAAACAGATTCTTTATTTTCTTTTCCCATATTCAATGGATACTGAGCAACTTGGATTTCCGGAAAAGCACCACCATCTCCAAAATCCTAAATAAAAAAAAATAGCTGTCTTAACAAAATTATACTATGCATACATTTTATTTTAAAACAGTATCTCAAGAACAAAAGTATCCTAACAGTCAGTGGTTCACAAACTTTAAAAAAAATCAGAAACACTTTTTTAAAAAACAGAATTTTACGAATTATTATGAAATTTCAAGTATTTTTTTTGTATCTGTAGGCTTGTAGACACTATTAAATCATTTAAATTTAATTTTGAGGAATTAATTAGCATCAATTATAATATTCATAAAATTCTAGTATGATTGTTGAAAAATTCAATAATTTTAATCAAAACTTTAACTTGTTGTCATTTAGTCAATTTTGTTTTAGAGCTATGGTAAAAAAGACCAAATTGACTTAAAAAATTCGGTCTATCTGAATTTGGTATTCGAAACACCCGTTGCCGTTTAATAAAATGCAAGTTGTGTTGCGCATGCGCACACGGAATGATCTAACAATCATCAAGAAATGTGTATTTATGTATTCCCTATCCCCCCCCCACCGAATGCCGCATATCAATCTGATTTCACTGGACAGAATTATTTAGTGTTCCCTTTAAAAAGAAACACACTGCATAAAAATCATTATTTTTACAAATACTACACACATTGATCACTAGGTAGTAGTAAGTGACTGGTGACTGTAATTTGGTCATGTATTTTGTCAACATATAATAAGCATATGTCATACAATCCATACTATTTAAAGAAACTCTATGGAATATATTTAGCAGAAACAGTTAATTCCAACACTTGTGTTGTTTTAATTGTCTCGTGAACAATACTATTGTCTTAACATGTTGACTACAAGGAGACGGCTAAAAAAAATTTCAGAAACGAAAGCGGATTTCTAAACAAATTCCTCTGTGGTCAGACAGAATTGGAAGAAAAGAGGTCGCTCTGATGTTACTCACTTAAGACATACAAATATTATATAGGTACCTATGTTGCTAATTGCAATAAAAGTAAAAATGTCTAAGAAAATCAGCAAAAGCTAGGGAAATAAAAAAAATTCAACCTTTTGACCTAAATGTAAAATGTATATTTGTATTAATTGTTTTAATATTTATCAAGCATAAATTTATATTGATTAACGCATTTTGGGAATAATATGTTTTGTTTTATACAACATACATATTAATATAATTGTGTTTAAAAATGTATAGATTTGGCAGCTTATTGATAATTTGCATACCTACACATAGTATTATTAGTGTGACACCCAGCTATCATCAATTCACTGAAATATCACAAGGCTTTATGACTACCAACGTGTTAAAAATGGTTATGTTGCAGAAACGAAATTTTAAAAACTATCTGTGATTAATTACTTGAGCATTGAGTGTAAACATTCCTCTTATTTAATCGATTATATTAGACAATTATATAATTCAAAATTTCATAACAATATCTTAATATTTACTTCAACGGTTCTTGGTACCCATCCATTTCTGTTCCCGTATGGTGGGATTTTAACAGCGTACACTTCATATGTATTGGTTTTCTCTGCAAGTGTTTCGTTTGATTCATCATCTTCTTCCAAATCCTGAAGGAATTGTGTAGGCGCTGGCAATACACTGAGAAATAATAAATTAATATACATAAACAAATTAATAAGCTACAAAAGGTGATTGAGTAATAAACTTGAGTTTTGCTTACCTAAATAGAGACATTATGTAGTCTAACGTTTTGTAAAATTAAAATGATTAATATGACAAGATTAACAAATAAATTAAGAACAAAATATTAAGTCTCTAGGCTCAAGCAAACCATAATATAACCATAGAATAGTTAGTTTATATCATGAAGCTAACAGTAGGTATCCTATTAATTTGAATATTTAAACATTTAAAATAGGATCATTCATTGATAATCCAAGTTCCGCTGAACTCGGGTTAAACAAACTATTGTAAATCAGGCCCTAATAGTCCTGAACACGAATCAAGACTGAATCTTGTCTTTAATTATGACACGAACTAAGAAATTATATAATATGATTTATGATGATTTAGATGTATTCCTAATTTAATTCGTGATCCTATACTATTTATTTTTTTAATTAAAAGCAAGTACATAAGTACATTAATAATATAGGTAATAATTACTATTTAGTATTTACAATTATAATAGATAAGATTCGTAGTTTCTAATTTTCCATTAGTTAATCTTTATAACATTTTGTCATCTGATTATTGAAATGTTGATTAGTGAATATTGTATTATTTACTGGCTTATCAGTGTGACCACCCAACCAACGATAATATATCCCACAGATCTACAGTATTTATTATTATAGAAGTAGAAATGTAGAATAAGTAGTACTTTTTATTTTTATTTTGTCAAGTATAATATATTATTATATTATTATGTATATTTTGTTAAATTCATTATAATACTATAGTGTTTAAAATCAATGATTTTACTTAAAAAGTATACATTAAAACAATTGCAATGGGTTTTTGGAAAATATCTTAATTTTTCATCATTTTTTTTTCTGTGTTTAAGGCGTTTTTTAATAACTACATGGTTATATCCAGGGCTCGGGACTTTAAGCATTTGCTTATTAATTTTATGGATTGACTTAAAATCATAGCAGAATGCTATTTAAGTGTATGTGATGTTACTTACAACTTACAACACGTTCAATAATGAAATTTGAAAGTGCTTTTTTTAGCTCTTTTTCAAAAAAATGCTTATTTCCAGTTTTTTGTTTTTGTTTTAATTAATTAGTTAATTTTTTTCAACTATTTGTAAATATCGTTTACATTTTATTTTTCAGAAAATTCTTCGGAAAATCCATCAAATTCTTGAAGTCTCGAAAGAAAATTTTAATTTTTTTGTAATATTAAGTTAAAGATTCATTTATTTATTTTTTGATTTTTTAGTTCGAATTTTTAAGTTTTTTTTAGAATATTCATGCTTCAATTTAAATTTTGTAAATGCTTATTTGAGTGCTTACAATGATGCTTTTAAACGCTTATTTTAATAGTTTTAAGTGCTAAAAGTCCCAAGCTCTGGTTATTACTTATAGCCTATAGGCCGGCGTCCATCAATGGCATGCTGGCACATGGTGGGTTGGTGAGGGTGTAATATCGCCTCCTTCTTTTGCATATTTTTGTCGTACAAATTAGGTTTATGATAAAACAATGATAGTATCACAGAATAATTTTTTTATTTATAATAATTGTTTAATTTATCATTTATTCCGTGATAGTATAGGTAGTGTATTAGTGTTACATTATTTACATCCGAAAGAACACGTTGAATTCCCATAATATTAGTTATTACTTATTACTAAGTAGTATTTTATAATTGTTATTTGTACATTGTTTTCTTAGTTAGCTTATTAAATTAGATGGTTTTGTTGATAAAATGTATTAGTTTACTGGATGTCCCGGGAGTGGGTGAAAGTATCTCATACAGGGTATCCACCAGTGGTTTCAGTTTGATGCGTACTTATTTCATTGATCTGGCATTCGAGGAGCATATGACGTGCTCGACCGTAATGTAAATTGTAATAAGTGTTCCACAAATAGGACTACCGACTATGGCATGAGGGTTGGTTTCATATGACTACAGACCATGTGGCAAGTGTGACCTCTTCGGAAGCGACCAAATTTAACGTCGTTCCTAATGTGATTATTATAAATTATAATACTTACTTTTTATTATTTTATATTGACAATTATCAAAAATATATCAAATTTATTATGTAAATTTATAGAAATATGGCCAAATGGGAAGGGGAATTTAGTATTCATTAAAAATTGTGTAGGAGGAAAATATCCAACTAAACCGAAAATATTTAGAAGTGAATTTTTCATGATGCCTGTAGACAAGAATAAGTCAATATCTTTTTTTCCTAATCTGGAAGTTAATGTTCAAATAAAATAATTTTTAATCATTACTTAGAATAAGCTCTTATCTTCCCTATAAATATATAGGTAGCATAACAAAATGATCAACATTTGTACACACACATTCTCTTTAATCACATATATTTTTATGTCTTCAAAAATTCAAACACAGATGCTACTTGTATTAGATATACATATTTTGTAAAATTGATTGGCTCTTAGGTCAAATCATTGCATTTTTTGCATAACTGTGGGTCAGTGTCATTACAAAAATATTCATTATTAAATGTTATACCTCTTTAGCATGGGGCAGGGGCGTCATTTTTTTTTTTGGGGGGGGGGGGGGCGAATCGAGGAGACAGTTCCCCCCTCTCCCAGAAAAACTATTTTATATAAATTAGAACCAAGTGCTGCCATGCCATTGGGTACATAGTATACAATCTATTGTGTTTCTCAAAATGTTTTAAATTTTTAAAAATATATTTTTAATACATTTGTGGTATACATATTAAGTTATAAATATAATTAATCTAGTACACTGTCACATAACTTGAACATAATATTAATAATATTTTATGTATTATATTATAATCAAAGTTATTTAAGTAATTAGTAAATATAACATAAATTAGCTATTTCCAGGAATTGGCCTTGTGTTTAGGTAAAAATTGAAATCCATTAGGTACTGGCCCCAGTAACATTTTACTTATCTCTATCCAATCATTGCAATTTCCACTAGCCATTAATGTCTCTAAATCATCCCTTCCTTTGTAATTGGGTGGTCTTTCATTAACTTTTTGAGGTACACGTTCCAAAATTCCTACAGGAATGTATCGATAACAAAATGACAGCCATTCCAATAAAAACTTTCTTGTTGTTTCCACACCTCGAGTATCACTACCCCAATGTTCAAGACCATATTTTACAAATTTTTTTAAAATTTCTAATCGTTCATTACTGCTTATATCCCAATGACGATTCTCTTTTAGCTCTTTAAATATCCAAGGCTTTATCAAAGCTCCACGGCCAATCATAGCACCTGTTATATCTGGAAATTGAAGTTTTGAATTTGTATAATCTTCGTAAGACATTATATCTCCACTACCAAATACTTGTATTGGACTTGCTAATTTTGCACATTCATTAACATAATTCCAATCAGCCATTTTTGTGTATCTTTGATCTCTTGATCTTCCATGAACTGTTATAAGAGATACTCCACTATCCTTAAACATAGGTATTAAATCGTGTGCAACATTTTGATCTTTATTCACACCTGAGCGAGTTTTTACTGTAAGAGGTACATCAAGTACAGTTCTCATACTTTTCAAACAAACTTCTAACTTTTTACTTCTAAGTAATAAACCACTACCAGCTCCTTGTTTATAAATTTGATCTAACGGACACCCTAAATTTAAATCTAAGAAATCCATATCTACATTTTCTTGTAAGACTTGTGCACTTTTAGACAACATATATGGATTATTACCACATATTTGAATACCAAATATGTCTTCTGTTTCATGTCTTTTAGTTAATGCCCATTCTTGATTATGTCCTTGTAGCAAACTTGATGCCAGTACCATTTCACTGCAGGTTATATCAGCCCCAAACTCTTTACATATTCTACGAAAAGGTAAATTACCAACTGTAGTTAAAGGGGCCAAGTACAGTTTATTTTTCCAATTTATCTTTTTATAACTTTCTTCAACTAAAGGTCCTAAGTTTTTATCCTTATCAATTTTTTCAACAGCTTCATCACTTTTAGTAAAATTGTATAATTTTTTTCTTAATTTTAACATATTTTCTTTACTTAAGGTTTTACAATTAGTTTCACTTTTAATCCACGTTTCATATTTGGTTTGATCAATAATATTTTTGCCACTTTCAATATGGCTACTTCCATATCTACAGGTCAGTCCTCTAGGACAACGGCCCTTAATAGAATAAACATAACATGTTTTGTCAATATCATCAGGTTTTTTTTCCAAGTATTCTGTAACATTGTGTAAGAATTTGCATTTATCATGTAAACAAGAATCTTTTTCTGCACCATCAACAAGATTTGAGCATAAATGCTCTTGTGGAATTTGATAGTAAGTACAATTTCTAGATTTATTTTGACCTTTTAATACACTTTTAGAACACTTCTGCTTTTTAGAAGGTGGCTCATCTTCATTTAGTTGGTTTTTATCTGATTCTGAAATACAGTTTATTGCCAACTTAGGTACATGTCTTTCAATAATATATTCTTTTTTTATAGATGCAATTCCCTTATTTTCTTCCTGTACAATTGATTTAACAATGGTATCAGCTGTAGTATTTTTTTCTTCATTTAAACTAACTAGGTCTTCATTCTTGGATGACATTTTAAAATATCTGAAAAAATTGTAATGTAACATTAATAAAGGTATCTTAATTTAGGTACCCTACCTAGTTACAATTATTTTAAAGAAATTAGTATATAAAATCAATTTATAACTAGATTTCATTATAATTTAGAAAAAAATGTACATATTATTTGGTGGATGAGTATTAAATAACAGAATTAAGGTTATCATTAGTCTACTCAAATTATTGACATTCATCATGTTTTATACATTTGCATTTGTTCAATAAAATATGTGAATTAGTAATGTTAGGTGATTATTAAAACAAATATCTGTAACAAATTAATTTAGTAGAAAATAAATATACAATTTAACATTCAAAGCATTGTAATAAAAATTAAAATGTATAATTGTGTTAAAAACGTAAAATATAAGAAAGTACACAGTGACACTTATTAGTTACCTGTTAAACTTGTAAGGAGTGCAAATTACTCTATACAAGTATTTTACTTTAACGATTCAAATTTCGAATGGTTGTAAAATATTGTAATTTGTGGATTCCTGAAAACCAGACAAAACTCTGAACTCTGAACATTTAATTTGAGTTTTTGAACGTAACCAACAAATTAAAAAATTAAAAATGATAAATGATCAATGATAATGTATTGATTTTTATTTTTTAAACTGTTTGGTTGATAACGATTTGTTTTTAAAGCATCACTGTATAGCGTTCGTGAAATGTTATTGGTGCACCTGGCGATAATGTGGAATTTAAACTGGGAAATGTTTTCCTCCGCGATTTTTACGAAATATATAAATTTACGAATCATTTCTTTTTTGATTCTGCATTATTATTTCCAATACGTACATCCATTGCTTGCTATTTATTTCATCATCGTACTACATTAACCATGGAAATAGCGTAAGTACATTTTAAGTACATGGATAATTGGCGTTTCG